ATTTTGAAGGAGAATGGACACTGCTTAAAAACAGAGAGCTTCGCATCTAACGTCACTACACCCTGTGTGAGAATGGAGGTTGAGGCAGTCACGGCTGCTTTACGGTGGCTTGAGAGCAACACAGCCTGAGATGTTGTAATTGTAACAGACTCCCTGAAAGGGAAACAAAGTCGGATTTTTAATCAGTTGCAGACGGAAAGATATGTCGTGAAAGCAAAAGGTCGCCCTAGGAAAATATGAATTAATGACATGAAAAGGCTTCTACTTCGGCCCAGAATGAGAATATTGATTGCTGGCCATCAAGCAATGGATCGTAAACTGTTCCCTCCCACAACGCTTAACCGTACAAGTGCAAGTTGATAATGATAATGATCAAGGAGGTCAGTCATTAATAAGCTCGGAACTATAAAGAAGATACCACTGATTTAGTTGTGATCTGGTAGTGATTTAGCGTTTAATATTTAATTAGGAATCGATGGCACTCGGATCCTTCCCATAAACGCCCGTCCCCATCTTCAGCAGCAAGCGCAGAGTTCCAGTTCCAGTGATACCAATAGCAGTCTGACTCACCTTTCCCTTCAGAATATAATGAGTAATCTGTGCTTCCAAACTATTCACTCGCCCCCTAGGGGCCCTTACTGCATCTAGCTCTTCATACATTAGTTCACCACCAAGTTGTGCAGAGACGCCCCGTCTATCTTCATGTTAATTCCCAAATACACTGGCACATCCTAGGGATAATATCCAAAGGGCTAACTGCCTGAGACCTCTAAAGCGACGCCTGCCACTCAACACATTATCACATCACCTCCTGTTATGAAGTGTCATGAATCAATTGTCTGCTTGTCAACATATTATCACATCACCTCCTGTTATGAAGTGTAATGAATCAATTATGTGCTTGTCAACACATTATCACATCACCTCTTGTCATGAAGTGTCATGAATCAATTGTCTGCTTGTCAACACATTATCACATCACCTCCTGTCATAAGGTGTCATGAATCAATTATCTGCCTGTCAACACATTATCACATCACCTCTTGTCATGAAGTGTCATGAATCAATTATCTGCCTGTCAACACATTATCACATCACCTCTTGTCATGAAGTGTCATGAATCAATTATCTGCCTGTCAACACATTATCACATCACCTCTTGTCATGAAGTGTCATGAATCAGTTATCTGCCTGTCAACACATTATCACATCACCTCTTGTCATGAAGTGTCATGAATCAATTATCTGCCTGTCAACACATTATCACATCACCTCCTGTCATGAAGTGTCATGAATCAATTATCTGCCTGTCAACACATTATCACATCACCTCCTGTCATGAAGTGTCATGAATCAATTGTCAGTTGTTACTGATACTCTCATTGCAACAAACAAAGATAAGTGGGCAGCATTTTTGCAGAGATTTATAGCATAAACTGATCATAATGATAGGGACCGTAGAAATTCAGTTGACAGTGATCAAGTAGTGATCTTGTGGTGATCTGGTAGTGGTCTGATAAAGATGTGGTAGGGGTTCAATAATGATTTGGTGGTGATTTTGTAAGGATCTGACAACGATTTAGCAATAATCTGGCAGTGCGTTGGTAGGGATGTTATAGCGATTTAGTAGTGACCAGGTACTGATTCTGTAGTGATGTGGTGACGATTTATTGTCATAAACAAATATAAGTGGAAACTAGAAGTAGAACTAGTCAGTTTCAAATTATCATAATCACAAACAACTAATAAACGTTGCTGCTAGAATGTCTTCATCAGCACATGCTAGGCTGTAGTGTTTTGCAATTACCAACAAGAATAGACAGAAACATTTAAATGAGGTCTTTACGAGAAGGATCCACACATTGATATGCAACGCTGAATCTCTAAGACACGGGGGAATTCGGAAAATATAAAATGGTTGGAAAGACGTGTCACGGACAAGGGCGTAATTAACGCTGTATTAGACGTTAGGTCTTTTGGGCGATTTTGAGCCCATTAGATAGATGGTGGTTAGACTTGATGGCCGTAACCTTTATGTTGAAGAATTTTCAGTGACCCTGAAAAATAAAGTGAATCGGCACCTTTGTCATGGCTCCGTTCTGCATTTCAGACAAATGTTGACTGATTTTGTCAGCTATTTGTTGTTCCAGTGCACGGATGTATCTATCACCACATCCCTTGCAGATGATGGAGTAAAGTCTTCTTGTTCGTGTTCTTGTTCTTGTTCTTCTTCTTCTTCTCCTCCTTCTTCCTATTTTCTTCTTGTTCTTGTTCTTGTTCTTGTTCTTGTTCTTCTTCTTCTTCTTCTTCTTCTTCTTCTTCTTCTTCTTCTTCTTCTTCTTCTTCTTCTTCTTCTTCTTTTTCTTCTTTTTCTTCATTTGTTCACCTGAAATAAGCTGTCTATGTCAGCAGTTTTGTCTCTCGTATAAATTTCACGGTAGTTTTCAGCTCATTCGGTGGTCTGTAGAGTTCCACTGTTGTTCTTTCTGGCCAAAAGGTTTACCCTAATGCGCCATATTCCGTGCAGTCCTAGAGAACATGTTCTGCTGTCTTGTGACTTTTTCACAAGTGCGCATGGCTGATAAAACTATATAGCTGCAGAAATTATGCAAGAACAGCAGACCAAAGGTCAGAAAAATTTAGGACCACTAGCGGTGTTAGCCAAGGTGATATTCTCTCACCTTACCTCTTCATTCTCATGATGAATGATGTCATCAAGACATGAAAGGAGGAAACAGAGAAATACTTACTAGGGTACTGGAAGATGAGACCAATCTGTATATCAGAGCTGGCATTTGCAGACTATGTGGCCCTGATAGCTAAATCAGAAGTACACCTTCAATCCAGTTGGATTACTTGTCTGGAAGAAGGAGCTTGAGAAGAAAGGGATAACCAAAACTAACACCATGGTGATCTCAAGAGAAGAGAAGAAACCCCAGATCAGGATGGGGCCGTATGCTTTGGAGCAGGTCAACCAGTTCAAATACCTTGGAGTTGTAATAGATCGAAATGGAGGCATTAAGACTGAGCTGGCTATGCGAAAAGCAGCTGCTGCGAGAATTGTCCAGGCCATAAACCGAGGTTTTAAAAAAAAATGTTTAGCAAAAGAGAAATTTGCAAGAATACAACAATGTCTGTCTGCGGCTCGAAGAATGTGCTAGTCCGGACCTACGGGTGTGAGTCATGGGCAATAACAAAATAACAACAGCTCCCAGAAGCCAGCTTTAGGCGACAGAAATGAGATATCTGAGAAAGATGGTCCAAGTGACACGAAAGGACAAAGTCGGCAAACAGACAATACGTCAAGTTCTTGAAACATAGGCCTTGCAAACCCGAGTGGATCAGTCACAGTTACGATGGTCTGGACACGTATGCTGCAGAATGGGAGAAAATCAGCCACCATGACAGGCATGGGAGGCTAAGAAACAGGGAACCAGACCTTCGGGACGACCCAGCGTCCGCTGGGAAGACGACATCCGACATTCTCTAAGTGACAGAAGACTGAAATGGAACAAAGCCAGAAAGAAAACTGCTGATAGAGAAGTCTGGCGATATCTCTGGCAAACCTCTACACCCCATAATAGAAGAGGAGCTATTAAGTAAGCACATGGCTGATACACCTATCTTAAATATTGCATACATGTGGTTGCGTAATCAGTTGTTCCCTGTTCTGAGGCAAAAGATAATAACTTGTTCTGATCTGTCCATAATAGAGTAGACGTCTGGTACTCGGACTGGTGGTTTCCTGATCGATTTAATTATCATTTTCTTTCGGTTTTATGTAATTGTTACATCTATCTGCTTTTTGTCGCACCTTTCCCTGCCAATTGTTCAGCTCTCTTATTTCCAGGCACTCCACAATGGGATGGTTTACACTGTATTGACAGCTGAGTTGTGTCTGCAGTGTTTGCAATTCTAGTAGTTTCCCAGACTTGGATACTTCAAGTACGGATTTTGCATTTGTCGACATTTTCAGTAGTGTCCATTGTTGGTATTTAGTCATTTCTTTGTCGCTGACTTAATTGCCTGGGTTTCTACATCATAGTTGTATGTTCTGAATTGTACACTGGATTTATTCATTTATTCCTAGTACCATCTGGGAATTCTATGTACACTCCTAAATCTCCATTTCTAACTGCATTTTGTGTGGACCTATCTGTATAGACCCGAACCCATTGTTCTCATGGATATTCTTCGTCAATATAACTCGAGGGTGGCAATTATGCGTTGTATACTCTCTTACTGTTCCTTGTCGGATATTCATTTCACATTTGTCTAGATGTGCACTGCTAGTTTGCCCTTTTCTCTCCGTGGGGTTTGTTCTGGAATGCTTTGAAGTGGACAACCAATTACAGAAAGGGCTGTAGCTTGTCTGCATATTATTTTTACTTGGTGTATAAAGCTGCTTCTTTTCAACCGTCCCATTTCTAAGTTCTTCAATCTATTCTTCATGGGGTGATCTGGCATACAGAGGACTTTTCTTGTTGTATTTGCAACGTTGTTTCTCTGCATACTCTCGATGCCGGTGTTTTACCAGCTTTCTTCAACCTCCCCCCCCCCCCTCTTCCCCCGTCCTCAAACCCCACGCCCACTGGAAAGATCTGTGAAAGGAGGGATAGAGGAAGACAACAAGAGATGATTCTTGACAGTATTGTTGCAATACATGGAAGTGTGTCAGCACTCGAACTAATACATGCTGCAGGAGATCGCAGATAGTGGCGATGCATAATCACCCACGCCAGTCGGCAAGGCACCTGAAGATGATGATACACTATTCGTATTCGTATTCGGCCGAATATTTGGTCCCGCTATTCGTATTCGGCCGAATAGTGAAAATCACTATTCGGTACAGCCTTAATATATATATATATATATATATATATATATATATATATATATATATATATATATATATATCTGTCTGTGTGAGTGTGTGTTAGTAACAATACATTTCAAACGTGATTACATATGAACATGCATACTCGAATTTTCCACGACAGTAACGTGCTTCTACAGCAGCCAGCGCCCCGCCAAACTTGGCAGCATCGCCAGACGGATGTTCTCCAGCACACCTGTAATCACTGAATGTGACTACCCGGGAGTTGTCGCCTTGTTCCGTGAAAATAACGGTCTATTGACCTTCTCCTGCATGGCTTCCTTGTTGGAGGAGGACCTCCTGCTGATCAACGAGAAAAATTGCCTCTCATGGGTACAGAAGTAAGTTATTCACCAAACTATGTAGGTGCTAAACAAAAAAGTAAAAGGCTTATTTCCACGCCTTCAGGCCGTTTACACACTAATCGGCATTTGGTGGGCGATATTGTCGCTTTTACTTCCTGTGACTGCACATGGAACCCACTGAAGGCTTGGTCGACCTTGGAGCCATGGTCAAAAAAAAAAAAAGTGTATCCCCGTCAGGACCCGAATTCAAGACCGTAAGGTCCACAAGTGAACCTCTAGACGCTACACCACTGCGACTCGCAGTTACTTACATACTTGATAGTAATAAAGTTAGGGGCCCTGTTCATACCACTGACACCCTGAACATACGATGCATTACATTTCTGTAACCACACCTTTGCAGCTAACACATCCTTTATTTGTTATTCTGCAGACTGTCCACCGCCTTCAACCACAAATGTCTACGTAGAATTATCAAGATTTTCTGGGCAAAACAATCTCAAACACCAACTCATAAACCAAGAAACTTCTGGACAGTATGATAACAAAGAGCGATGAGAAGATGAAAATGGCTTAGCCACGTTATGAGAAAGAATCCTGATATACCTGCCAAAACAGTTCTCACCTGGACATCAGAGGGAAAGAAAGAAGGAGCGCCTACCCCCCCCCCCCCCACAAACACACACACACACGGAGACGAACGATGGAAAATGAACTGAGTTCTGCATCTCTGAGATGGAAAACCGCATCAAAGATTGCACAAAGCAGGAAGGCATGGAAAGTCCTCTATGACGCCTCACGTACCACTGGACGTCAAGAATACTGATGCCGCTTGGACAGAAATTATTGAAAGTACAGAAGACAGAAGGCTTTTGATTACCACATAGTATGGGCTGGAAGACGTTATGAGCTCTTCTCCTAGCTCAATATATGTTTCATGTTGTCTTTAACATGATGTCTTTTTTTTTTCTGAGAGCGTTCTGGGTTGTATTTTGTGGCAAAATTTTTCTCGACAATCGTAGTTTTCATTCTTTGTTAAATATCAGTCCAGTTTACTTCAGTGTGAAGTGTATAAGACTATTATATACATGCAGAAATTGAAGGAAAGTCAGAAGAATAAAAAACAAAGATGTCCTACATCAAAGCTATTTAACTGGCTGTCTGGCAAGTAGCCAGCGAATCATTGCCAGTTTTATTCCAAGGAATTCACGACTAAAATGCTTAACGAATCTGGAATTCCTTGGTATTAGCTTGGCTGCAGTCACTCCCATAATTTTACCAGTTTTATTCCAGTTCTAGTTCCATTCTTGGAAAAAAATCAGAAAATTGACCTTGTTCAACCATCTGTTCTGCTAACAGTCTGCGGCTATATTTATGGTCTGGTTTATTTGCTCCACTTGTGTGGCTGAGATTGTGGTATGTGCGCCAGCACTCTGGCTTTCTTTTTCTATCCTAGAAGATAGACCGCTCCTTTCTGTCTGTGTCTCAATGAGTTCTTCTTGTCCATGTCTTTCTGACGTTTTCTTCGTGGGTCACCCGCTGTCTTGTTCTTTCTTCCTATTATTTGTTCTTGTGTCCTTCAGTGTGTTTCCCAAACTGTTTCCTCCTAGTTTGGCCAGGCGTATCCCGTAAAAAACCAAGCAAGTTCGCAACTAGACTTTACAAAACGTTCTTTCGGACCGCCATTTATTGTTTTACAATTGTGAGTATTTTACTTTGCCAAGAGTACGGAAAACAGTTCTGAGTTTGAATAGATCCGGAAATGTGAAAATAATTCGCTTTTCAATTTGATAGTATTAACGATCTTGACATGCTAGGGGTCGGTGAAACGGGATGAATTGGCTATAAAAGCACACAGGGCTGGAGAATTAGCAAGAGAAACGAGAAATTTTCAGGCTTGCCGTGACGAGAACAACATTATGTAACAAACTTTGTGGATGAGGAGATGACCATTTGCAGAAGTGCAGTCTCATTACGGCAGATTGGAAAGCCATTCGGTTCCTTGCCAAGTTTTTCGTCTAGTCTACTTTCTGTCCAAAGTGTCTTTGATATCCTGCGTCCAGTGTGGTGTCGTTGCCTTACTTCTTCTCTCAGAAACGACACCCGCCCCTCTTCCAAAACCCGCCCCTCCCCCTCCACCCCTATTACCGTTTTCTCCAAGTCATTATACAGTTTAATGTGACCGAATTATTTTAGTTTACCAGAAACTATACAGTTGACGAGCCAGCCTCATGTTTTCTTGTAACCAAAATTCCAGCCTACGTGTTATTGGTATTGTTCCACAGATACACAACTTATGCAATGGCCGATTCCTACCAGATATCCAAGGTAACCAGAGCCGTCTCCGTAAACAAGACAACTGTAGCTCGGCTAGACACGAGTAAGTCAGATTGTTTCTGACAATATTTTGACTATGGTTGCTATGGTTTACAAGACGTTGTTGTTTCTGACAATAATTTGACTATGGTTGCTATGGTTTACAGGACGTTGCAGAATCATCTTCATCATTTCTTGGCTGTGTAGTTTTATTATGCAATTTTACGTTTAGCAGACTGCCATCTTAACGGTTGGCACTCCATCATTATCATCATGTGCTGTGTCGATAGGTATAGGCTCTATCAGGTTTCGCCATCTCACACGAAAAACATCTTATACTGGCAGATAACGAGATCTTTGTATATGTTATACTAACACATAGCATCCTATGTTATACATTTCTACCTGTTATACTTTTACGTAGAATGCTGCATTAGACATTGCTACCTGTTATACTTACACGTGAAATACACGTAACATCCTGTATTAGGTATATCTACCTGTTATACTTACACGTAACATACTAGATTAGATATGTCTACCTGCTATACTTACACGTAACACCCTAGATGAGATGTCTACCTGTTATACTTACACTAACACCCAAATGAGATATGTCTACCTGTTAATGCTTACACATAATACCCTAGTATAGATATATCTACCTGTTATACTTACACGTAACATCCTAGATTAGATCTGTATACCTGTTACACTTAACCGAAACACCCTAGATTAGATATGTCTACCTGTTATACTTACACGTAACACTTTAAATTAGATCTGTATACCTGTTATACTTATCCGAAACACCCTAGATTAGATATGTCTGCCTGTTACACGTAACGCCTTAGATTAGACATTTCTACATGTTATACTTACACGTAACTTTCTTAATTAGATTGTATACCTGTTATACTTAGTAGCGCCATATATTAGACATTTCTGCCTGTTGAATTCACATGCAACACCCTATATTAGACATTTTTGCCTTTTAGATTCATACGAAACACACTATATTAGACATTTCTACCTGTTAAATTCACACGTAACAACCTATTTTAGACATTTCTGCCTATTATATTTACACGTAGCAACATATTAGACATTTCTGCCTGCTATATTCACAGTAACATCCTATATTTGACATTTCTGCCTGTTATATTCACACGTAACACTTTATATTAAACCTTTCTGCCTGTTATATTTACACGAAACATCCTATATTAGACAATTATGTCTGTTATATTCACACGTAACACCCTATATTAGACATGTTTGCCTTTTATATTTAGACTTAACACCCTATATTAGACATTTCTGCCTGTTATATTCACACGTAACACCCTATATTAGACATTTCTGCCTTTTATATGTATAAATTTATTACGTAAACGTCTCATCTTTTCTATAATTCACATCAACAAAATATACATCACATTATATATATATATATATATATATATATATATATAATATATATATATATATATATATATATATATATATATATATATAACCTGGGCTTTTTGTAGGCAGAAAAAAAATGCCAGTGTTCATGAGAGTATCTATTACAGTAGCACAGAAAAAAATGCAATTCTGTTTTTAAAAAAAAATGCAATTCTCTAAGTCTACAGAAAGTGCCGGTACTGGTGACCGTTGCATACCACAATAATAAAAAAAAAAAAAAAGAATGAACTAAGTTATTTTTTACACACTGTGCTTGCACACTGTATTTGCTGTCGCCTTACCAACGTATTTGTGATGAGACTGAATATGTACAATTCTACTACAGCTGGTTCACTGAAAAGCCTGTACACAGTAAGACTCAACTCCAAGCTAACACTCAACGATGGCTGCACGCAGCCTGTCTGTGTTCCAAACATCAATATTCCGGCTTCAGACATTGACCTCGAAGACTGTCACATTGTTGGCTATGGAGATACTACTAGCAGTAAGTAGCCACAAAGTCTCACATCTGAAAGTTTTTTTCCCAACGGTCTTTATGTCAGACAATTGTATCTAAATGTTTTCGAGTTACGTCTCTTGCCCTAACTACTCACTAGCCGATCCAACCTCTCTGGGTCATTTCATATTTGCATTTCAATCTACTGTCCAACCGTGTTGTAACATTTCATATATGCATATCAATCTACTGTCCAACCGTGTTGTAACATTTCATATATGCATTTCAATCTACTGTCCAACCGTGTTGTAACATTTCATATATGCATTTCAATCTACTGTCCAACCGTGTTGTAACATTTCATATATGCATATCAATCTACTGTCCAACCGTGTTGTAACATTTCATATATGCATATCAATCTACTGTCCAACCGTGTTGTAACATTTCATATATGCATATCAATCTACTGTCCAACCGTGTTGTAACATTTCATATATGCATATCAATCTACTGTCCAACCGTGTTGTAACATTTCATATATGCATATCAATCTACTGTCCAACCGTGTTGTAACATTTCATATATGCATATCAATCTACTGTCCAACCGTGTTGTAACATTTCATATATGCATATCAATCTACTGTCCAACCGTGTTGTAACATTTCATATATGCATATCAATCTACTGTCCAACCGTGTTGTAACATTTCATATATGCATATCAATCTACTGTCCAACCGTGTTGTAACATTTCATATATGCATATCAATCTACTGTCCAACCGTGTTGTAACATTTCATATATGCATATCAATCTACTGTCCAACCGTGTTGTAACATTTCATATATGCATTTCAATCTACTGTCCAACCGTGTTGTAACATTTCATATATGCATATCAATCTACTGTCCAACCGTGTTGTAACATTTCATATATGCATTTCAATCTACTGTCCAACCGTGTTGTAACATTTCATATATGCATTTCAATCTACTGTCCAACCGTGTTGTAACATTTCATATATGCATATCAATCTACTGTCCAACCGTGTTGTAACATTTCATATATGCTATCAATCTACTGTCCAACCGTGTTGTAACATTTCATATATGCATTTCAATCTACTGTCCAACCGTGTTGTAACATTTCATATATGCATATCAATCTACTGTCCAACCGTGTTGTAACATTTCATATATGCATTTCAATCTACTGTCCAACCGTGTTGTAACGTTTCATATATGCATTTCAATCTACTGTCCAACCGTGTTGTAACATTTCATATATGCATATCAATCTACTGTCCAACCGTGTTGTAACATTTCATATATGCATATCAATCTACTGTCCAACCGTGTTGTAACATTTCATATATGCATTTCAATCTACTGTCCAACCGTGTTGTAACATTTCATATATGCATTTCAATCTACTGTCCAACCGTGTTGTAACATTTCATATATGCATTTCAATCTACTGTCCAACCGTGTTGTAACATTTCATATATGCATTTCAATCTACTGTCCAACCGTGTTGTAACATTTCATATATGCATTTCAATCTACTGTCCAACCGTGTTGTAACATTTCATATATGCATTTCAATCTACTGTACAACCGTGTTGTAACATTTCATATATGCATTTCAATCTACTGTCCAACCGTGTTGTAACATTTCATATATGCATATCAATCTACTGTCCAACCGTGTTGTAACATTTCATATATGCATATCAATCTACTGTCCAACCGTGTTGTAACATTTCATATATGCATTTCAATCTACTGTCCAACCGTGTTGTAACATTTCATATATGCATTTCAATCTACTGTCCACCGTGTTGTAACATTTCATATATGCATTTCAATCTACTGTCCAACCGTGTTGTAACATTTCATATATGCATTTCAATCTACTGTCCAACCGTGTTGTAACATTTCATATATGCATTTCAATCTACTGTCCAACCGTGTTGTAACATTTGATATATGCATTTCAATCTACTGTCCAACCGTGTTGTAACATTTCATATATGCATTTCAATCTACTGTCCAACCGTGTTGTAACATTTCATATATGCATATCAATCTACTGTCCAATCGTGTTGTAACATTTCATATATGCATTTCAATCTACTGTCCAACCGTGTTGTAGGCAAATAAGTGATTTGTTGTCTATTTTTATTTTTAGTTGAATCATCGTCCGTTTGTGATGCATGCTGTTGAAGGCTTTCTAACCGCAACATCAATTTTGTAATTGTTGTATTGTGAAAGACACTAGTACTGCTTGCTCCTCGTGTAGGTTTTTAATTTCATCATGATATCTTTCTGTTTATGCATACTTAGTTTGCTGACTTAGGGTCACTGCCACGCCATTGGCGCAATGAGCATATAATTTGCTGAAGCAATAGTGTATGGACAATTGGCACTCAATTGGTGATGTAGCCATATTTACTTCCCGTAAAACTTCCTAATATACCTTCTGCAGAAAACAATCAGATCGTACTCTAGTGGATCCCGAATAAGAAGAAGAAAAAGAAGAAGAAGAAGAAAAAGAAGAAGAAGAAGAAAAAGAAGAAGAAGAAGAAGAAGAAGAAGAAGAAGAAGAAGAAGAAGAAGAAGAAGAAGAAGAAGAAGAAGAAGAAGAAGAAGAAGAAGAAGAAGAAGAAGAAGAAGAAGAAGAAGAAGAAGAAGAAGAAGAAGAAGATGATGATGATCAAGAAGAAGAAGAAGAAGAAGAAGAAGAAGAAGAAGAAGAAGAAGAAGAAGAAGAAGAAGAAGAAGAAGAAGAAGAAGAAGAAGAAGAAGAAGAAGAAGAAGATATGACTTTTACTATGGGTCAACCTGGGAGCTAAGGTCAGTTAGAAATACACTTGGACTTGGATTGAACCAATTATCTTTGGCCCATGTTAACTGCAGAATTGAAAATATAATTTGTATAGTTCAACAACTTCGCTCGGGTGTTGTGCACCCAGTTTCATAATCGTGTATTTACACACACTATCCGGCAATTCAATGAGACAGGTTTTATTACGGCCAAGATGAAAACATCATCCACGAAGCAAAGCATGTTATCTAATTCATCCCTGATTTAGCCAAACTAAAAATATCACCTGGCCACCAGTCGACAAATAACCAGTTTTTTTTTTGGGTTCAACTAGTGAAAGCTGCCTTCTTATGTATGCAGCATGGAACAAAAAGAGAACATTAAATTATGTTTTAAAGTTGGAATCAGTCTATTGATAGTTCGACAACTATGAACTAAAATTTTTTTTATCATCAGCTGGATTACAATCATTATTTTTAATGTAGTCACTGTCTACCTACGCATATCATTTAGAGATCCCGTTTCTACTTATAAACTCTTTCAGTACCAAGTAACTCAAAATGCGTTTTTTAAATTTTTACTGAAACTGATATTTTTCACAATTCCACGTATCCAATCAAGGTACTATATTAACCCATTCTGCGCCAGTTATCTATTTAATTCGTTCTGTCTCGTGGTGTTATAAGTGTTGCCCAAGTAATCATTAGTTCAAATAACAACTTCAATCTGAACATCACGAAAAATTGGGATGTAAACACCATCTTGGATTAGAAACTGACATGTTTTGGCTAAATTAAACATTAAGGTGGATTGAAATAATAACGGACAAGAGGGCCATAACTAAGGCGCCAAAACTAGTTATTAACTCATTACTTATTTATAATTGCGATGTGTATTTTCCCAGCTATGGGATCAACTCCCCCTCAGCTGAATGAGATCAAGGTTCGAGTGGCCCTATCGAGCATAACCAAGGCTAACCTGACTGTTACAAGGATTGACGGGCAGCTAGGAATGTCATGTATGGTAAGTCTATGTGTTACTGTTGATATAGAACATCACTAGATGACACACAATGGCTGGTCTACTAAAACAGTTGAGGGGGTTGATTATTAAAGGTATGACATGCTTTTTGCTTCTGGCCACAGTTTGCTGTTAAATTACACTCGCCCCCAAGTCCGTTTCAATTGTTGTCCTCAACGAGGGATAATGACAGTCATTCTTGCGATTTTTGCTAGCACAGGAACAAAGCGAAAGCGGCAAAACCCGTTTGCAATGAAGCTGATCCTGCGACTTACATCTAATATCAAACTAGACGACATACCACTGAGGTCTCTCTGTAGGTATGAGCCTGCTGTGTTCTCGATCCGCCCTGTTGGGAGTCGCTGTAGCGATTGCCTGCCGATTTGAAAGTCTTGTTCTGGAATCGGTACAGGGCAAATTCTTCACCCCAAAAATCCCCTCCATTTCGTTCCGGCCTACAGCGAGATTTACACTAGACATGTTAAAGAAGTTAAGTGTACAGTAGCTCAAACAAGGGCAGCATGTTACGAAATGAAGAATATCCAATGCAATCATTCTTTGTCATTAGAGATGAGAATGAGAATTCACAAGTGCTATATAAATCCTAGTAATCTGGTAATCTTATTTTCAGCTTCATAGCAAAAGGGTCACACAAAAGCGCTCCGCTCCTGAGCCAACGTAAAATACACAGAATGTTTCTGGCAGTCCCTTGTGGAAAGATTGACAGACTGCTGCCTCAGCATATCTAGCATACACACGCATCAAAAGCATACGGTATCGATCCGAAGTGATAACACAAACAGTCCGACATTAGATATGCATTTCATCATGGATGGTAGCAGAAGTCACCAACAAATCAGCAGTTGCACACGCGATCAATTTTTATCACATAATAGCACCACTAAAAATGTGACAAGCATCGCGCCATTTTCTGAATCTACAATTCACACCACTACGTTAGTCACAGCTGAAAAAAATTCTAAATGAAATCCGTGATATACGATGATGAATCATGGATAGATGGGCGATTGTGAAAAATTATTTGGAAGCGGCAGAGATGTGGTTCTTACAGAAAATTAATGAGAAAAACCTAGCCAAAGACAGATAAAAAGAGTAACTAAGATGTCCTGAAAGAAACTGGCTTACAAAGAGTACAGACTACACACATCAGAAGGAGACAGTCTGCATTCTTTAATCTAGTCATGAGAAGGAGAAAACTTCATCATGACAAAGGGAAAGTTTGAGGAGAAAAGAGGCAGAGGGAGAATGAGAGAGAAGATGTTGGACAGTTTGACATCTTGGCATGGAAGATCAGCTGTGTCAGAATTGATTGAAAGTACACGAGACAGAAGGTTGTGGCTAGACAACGAAACACGGCATTGACTAGAATAAGAACAACTGCCCTAAAAGCAGTAAACTTCGTCTTCTTCTTCTTCGTCTATTCAATCTTGTACCTCATCG